GGGAGGTTTTGTTGTTTGTTTGTGTTTTGGGGTCTTTTTTTTAACAAGTTGATTAGATAGTCTTTATACTAAACAAATTTAAGGCAACACCTTCAGTTTAATCTAGTGTTTGAAGTCTTGTTTCTTCCAGAAAAAGGCTTAATGAAGAAAATGGGTAGGCAGGTGGACTGAGGTGTGAAAACTGAGTTAGAATTAAGATTAGATTAAAAATGTAGATGTGGCCAGTGGTAATCCTATAAATAATGGGCTTTGAGAGACTGGCTGCAAGGAGCTGACTTTTTTGTGCCTTTTTTGTGCTTTCCTACTTGATATACTGGCTACAAGAAACCTAATTTGTACTGAAAAGGAGAAGGAGATCACCTAGCTCAGCAGTAATGCACTGACTTTCAGGAAAGAAAATCTTGTCTTGAGGAAGGAATACATGATGTTCCTTAGACCTCTTTTACACAGGATGTAAATATATCATTTCATCCTGAAGCAGCGGATATCTGGGGAGAATGCTGCGAAGTATATCCTGGCAGGCCTGACAGAGTCTGACTTACATGTACAGAAGAAAATAATCTGAGTTCCAGTGCTTAATGGAAAGATTCACTGCAGAGCCCCACAGAATATTAATTTAATTTAGCCTGGTAAGTGGTTCTGCAGTAATGTGCCTTGTTCAGATTTAAAGTTTGCAAGGTGGCATGTGAGCTGTCAGGTACAATGACACTGAACAGCACAGAACTGTGACTTGAGAAGATAAAGTCTTCAAGAAACGGGAGTATGATCAACAGAAGGGATGACAGGTTTGTCCAGACACACAAGCATTTTAATGCTGTACTTGATATTAAAGCCTAAACAAGCAACTCCTTGTTGGTCCATACAATCTTACAGTGCACTTCTGTGAGCTACCCTGTATCACGTCGGGGAGCTAACTTCCATGGAATAATAATTCTTTTTTAATTCAGTCCAAACTAAAAAGCATGTCATGTCAAAAGGATCAATGAGAATTTTACAAGCAATGGTAAGGATTTTCTCCAGCAATTTGCCTAATTGCTGCAATCCAGAAAAACTGAGGACATAGGAGAAAGCATGATTTCCCAAATTACAATACAGACATGGAAGCCTCTGTTATATACTTCTTTTTTTTTTTTTAAGAAATGCCAGTAAAATAAAATGAAATAGAAATATGAGTCTGAATTTAGACTCACAAGGTATATAATTATTCAGTGTAAAAAAAAGTGTGTGTGTATATATATACACAGTTGAATTTCAACTTATTAAGGGCTGATTTTCTGGACAAAAAGGGCAATTAATAAGGAGACAATTGGAAAACAATGGAATCAAGTACACAAGAATCACATGGATTAATTAATTATTACCCTAAGCATTGTCCCAGGCCCAATTTAAGCATGAAGATTTTGAAAGCTGTTGAACAAGGTACCATTAGGAGTTCTGTATTACTTTGTTGCTAGGAATATAAGGTATGGATATATTTTTGATATATATATAGCCATTTATATCTTATATATAAAGGCTGATGTGAGATGTGATTGATATATTTACCTGTGAGTTACTATTTATAAATGAAATGCTGATGTCAAGGTGCTTCTCACTCTTGCCATAACTTGATACAATATCACTGGTGGGTTAGATTCTTCTGAATTCTTTAATGTTTCACTTTTCACTGTACAAGAAGGTACAACACACAAAATTTTAACAGTGTAGGCCCTTGCCAGGGGGAAGGATTTCCACTCAGTACATATTCACTGGAGAGAAATATTTTTGAGAGGTAGGAAAATCCTTTGCATAACAAGGAGGAAATTTTAGAAAACCTGCCCTTAAAAGGATGGCTTTTCAGAGGAGCATTGCAAAAAATGCTGATAAGATGCTTATAATCATTTTGCTAATGGC